GTGCGCGGGCCGGACAGGCGGGGAAGCCCCCCACCCTCCCGCTAGAGACGCGGCGAGTATCTAGGTGGGCGGCCCCAAAACTTCAACCCTCGGCGTTGCCAGGCAACAGCCATTCAGCCGGTTGCTGGGACACGCGTTACCATGGCGACGGCTCCGCGCCGCGCGCTCGGAGTATTTAAAGAGCAAGCGCGCGCAACGCTCCGGCGTCGGAAAGCGGCCTTCCGGGATACCGCGGGCGCCCCTTCTCCCTTCCCCCCTCCCCCTTGCCACCCCTTCGCCCTCTTCCGGAGATCCAGTCTCCCAACTGGATCTCAACTCCCCAGCGCGCCCCCGGCCCCTGGGCCGGGCCGCCTTCCGGCGGTGGGGAGCGGGGTCCCGGGCCCCGGGCGGGCGGGAGGGACGGGACGCGGTGCAGTGTTGTTCTTTTCCCCGCCAATATTGCACTCGTCCCGGCCTCCGGCCCCTCCGGCCCCCCGGCCCCCCCTCACCGCGAGCGGGGCAGCCCCGGCCCTCCTCCCGGCTCTGATCTCTGCCGATCTGAGATAGACTGGAGTGTCGCCGCTGCCACCGTGGGTAAGTGGGGCTGGGAGGACTTTAGCCATCCCCCGACCAGCACCTCATCCTTCACCTAATCCACCCCCAGCCTTCGCCTGACCCCCATGCAGCAGCTTCCTCACTGTGCCCCAAACTCAGCCAAACTTCCTCTAGAGCTCTAACTTCCATGCTGCCAGCCCTTCTCCCTTACCCTCCTCGGGTTCCTTCCTGCGCCCACACTGTCCTGGAAAACCCCTAAAAGAAGCAATTGCACTGGCTTAGAAAACAACTGGAACTTTATGGCAATGTGCTGTTAATCTCTCCTGGGGTTAACGCCTGAGAAACACTCCTTGAAAACTTCCCGTCTCTTCAACAGTGGGGTCACCACCCCTCTGGGGCCGGACCCCCGGCAGGTGCCAGAGGCGGGTCTGTGTTTGGCCGAGGGGCTGTAGATTAGGCCCTGGGGCCTCCAGGATGGCCCCCAAGGCCAAACGGTCTAAAATCGGGTTCCGGATCCGGCAGCCATCTCTTCACACCCTTCCCTGGAGCAGCTGCCTCCGGAATGGCTCAAAGTCCTCGGGCACGGTGTCTGAGGAAGGAGAAGCCGCTGGGTCAGGGACTGACGGCCCGAGGGCCTGGGCACCTGGCTGACCCGTGTGCAGGGGCTCACCGTTGCATCGGTACTGGAGGTTGGACCAAATGATGTTTTCTTGGGAGAAGCAAAACACACCAAGACGCCCCCCTCGCATGGATGTATCGATGATCACCCCAGAATCTGCCACTAGCTGGGGACCCTCGTAGAGCTTCACTCTGTCCAGGATAAAGGTTTCTATTGGTGCTAGGGTGCCAGTGAACACTGTGCCACCATGCCAGGGCCCTGCTCAGCCCCAACCCCCCTCAGCTCACCAGGCCTGGGAGACAAGGGAGGAGGGAAAGGGGAGGGAAAGGGGTGCTTTTCTCAGGCCTGGGGCCCCTGGCTCTTTGTCCAGCCCCCTTTGCATCTCAAAGCACCAGCCACATTCCAAGCGAGGATTGGGTTGCCATGACGATGAGCACAATGAGCTGGGGGGTGAAGTCACCCGCTTCCCAGGCTCTAGTCTACCCCCCTTTTCCCTTGCCCTGGCGCCCCGCAGCCCTAGGCACCTTAAAGGGGAACCAACCCAAGTGCCTGGACTCTGGGCTCTTGGCCACTTCCCCTCCCTTCCCTGTCATCCCACCAGCTAGGCGATGCGGAGCGGTGGCCAGAGCCGAACTGAGAGGCCTCGGCTCTGCCCCCAGAGCTGTGGGTCTGGGGCCTGCTCTGTGTCTCTGCAAATGACAGTCCCTTCCAGGTCAGATGCCTTGAGGCAGGTTCTGAGCTGTAGTGGTGAAGGAGCTGGATGTCACATGCCTCTCTACAGACCGGTCTGGGCTCTAGAGGCTCCCAGAGGCACCTCGTCTTCAGAGAGCTGAGTAGGGCACAGGAAAGGGAGGACGTGCCCAACAGAGCCCAGGCCGCGATGCTGGGAGGAAGGTGCCGAGGCGGCACGCCTGCGGTGAGGGGGGAGATGGAGGCCAGTGGTCCCTGTCCATGCACTGAGTACGGGCATCACCAGTGAGTCCCAGCTAAAGGTGGAGGAAAGGCCAGCCTGGGGTCCCCCGGGAGGGCTCGGCGCCCCCTCACCGGATGTAGCCGACTTGAGGCCGGTGCAGCAGCTGCCAGCGGTAGGAGGTCTTGTCGCGCCAGCCCGCGTTCCGTGGGTCGGTCCACAGCAGCCGGACCTGGTCAGGGGTGTGGCCAGTATGCCACAGGGCATTCCGGAGGTGCTCACCTGGGCCTGACACCGATGTCACTGCCTGGGAGACATTGGCAAAGCCGGGGGGTCAACCACAGGACCCGAATGAGGTTGGTGAGTACAGGTGGAAAAAGAAGTCAGGGTGGCCAAGAGAATGTTCTGGGGCCCTAGGAAGCCCGCCTCTGAGTAGGCAGGCTCCTGCTCGGGCGGGGAGGTTTGGGAAAGGGCCCTGGACCGGGGAATCTGGGCGGCAGCGGGACCTTGAGCTGCAGTCCAGGCTGGGCAACCGCCCGGAAGGGCGTGGCCTGCCAGTAGGTCTGCTCCGTCTGCTTCCACATGACCACATAGAAGCGGCCGCTGTCCTGGTAGCTGAAGAGGAAGCCCGCGTAGTCGTCATCAGTCACCGTGTTCACGTGGAAGGTGCCCTCGAAGTCCACCCCGTTGAAGGCTGTGTATCCTGGGGGATGGGATCAAGGGCAGGGGCAGCAGAGCTACGGGTGGCCCATCGTGCAGCGGGGGTGGAAGGGATGCCTGCTGCGCGTGTGGCCAGCTCGCCCCCCACCGTGTGCCCCCGTCACATTCCTCTGGAAATGACCGAAATTGGACTGGGTGTCCCTTACATACCAACTGCCAGGCCGGGGTCGCTGTTCATGGTCTGAACGATTTCCATGCCCTGGTGGCGGGCAGTGAAGGGGAGCCGTGAGCTGGGCATGCCGCCCTCCTCGGCTTGGCCCGGCCCAGCCCGGGGTCCCCGCTGACATTCCCGCCCCCAGCCCACTGCCCTAGTACCTGGTTGAGCACGACCCAGTTTGGGTCGATCTGAGCATCCCCCTCGGGATCCAGGACAACCGTTTGATAGGCCCGAAAATCCGTGAGGGTCACCTCTGCACTTTCAGGGCACACATCCAGGGGGTCGGCCACCGCGTCATTGTCAAAGTCGTCCTCACACACATCACCAACGCCGTTGCCTGGCCGGAGAGGCGAGGCGCTCAGGAAGGCCCCGGCCACCGCCACTAGCTAACAGCACCCCCTCTCGGGCCCTGCACTCCTGACCCACTCCCCGCCCCGTCCGCCTCGCTGCCCAGCAAGGCCTGCCACCTCCCCCTGAGCAAAGCCTGCACGGGTCCAACCCTCTGGGGCCTCGGCCTCACCATCTGAGTCCTTCTGATTGGGGTTGGGTACCAGGCGGCAGTTATCAGGACCAGGAGGCACGTAATCCGGGACACCGTCATTGTCATCGTCCCCATCACACTCATCTCCAAGTCCGTCATTGTCTGAGTCCAACTGGGAGCTGTTGGGTAGCTGTGGACAGTTGTCCTTGGTGTCCTGATGTCCATCCCCATCGCTGCCCAGAAGAACAGGCACCAAATAAAGGCTCTAAAGGTACCACGTCCTTCCCTTGCCCTCTGCTGAGGAGTCAGGTATGCCGCCATTCAGCCAGACCCCTGGCGGCCAGCCAGGTGGGAGGAAGGCTCAGCAGCAAGCACACGGGGGACCTGCTCAGCGCGGAGCATCAAGGCCGACCCCAGGGAGAACTGAGCACACCAGAGGGGTGTGGAGAATGCCCGCAAGCCTGCCCGCCCCTCGGCCAAGGCCCTACCTGTCTTCGTCAGTGTCACACACGTCTCCCACCAGGTCGCTGTCTGCGTCTGTCTGAGAGACGGGCGCCCGTGCTCACCATCTCTTTATAGCTGAAGAGGGGGACCCGACCCTCCCGTCATCCACCTGGCCCCCAGCCCGCCCCTGCAGTCCCCTGTACCTGGGTAGGGTTGCTCATTTCAGGGCAGCTGTCACAGGCATCTCCCACCCCATCCTCATCCCGGTCTGTCTGTAGGGGGTTGGGGACTTTAAGGCAATTGTCCAGTCCATTGGGGATGCCTAGAAGATGTGGGAACAGCCAAGGGTTGTCACCCTCTCTCCTAGGTTAGTAAAAGCCCCAAGCTTTGTCTCTCGTCTGGAGAACAGCTGTTCAGGAACCGCCTGTCCCTTGTGTCACACTCCTGCCCGTTCCGTGCCTGACCCTGTGGCCTACCTCGCATGGCCACTGACACCTGGCGCAGGTGGTCTCGCCCACGCTGACCTCCCTGAGCACGCCTCCCCAGTCCTCAGACTTCTCAGCCTCCCAGCCCCGCCCCCTCAGCCCAGGCCTGCACCATCCCCATCCACGTCGTTGTCACAGGCATCCCCTTCCCCGTTGCCATCGGTGTCCTTCTGATCGTTGTTGGGAACGTTGGGGCAGTTGTCACAGGCATCGCCAAATGAATCTGTGTCTGAGTTTTGCTGGTCCTTGTTGGGGAACAGCCGGCAATTGTCCTGGTGTGGAGGGGAAAAGAGTCAAGTCTCCCTTGAACCACTGGGTACCTAGCACCCCCTAGTCCCTCGTCTGCAGTCGCTAACCGGTGACGGTCTGCCTGCTTGGCACAGTCCCGCCCACCCGTCCAGGTGGTCCACCTTGTCCTGGCCACCGGCCTTATACCCCCCACGTGTGGGATACTGGGGCCCTTCCTGGAGAGCTGCCGGGGACCTGGGGGTTCATGGGACAAGGCGACAAGTGAGGAACAGCATGGGAGCTGGGAGGGGCAGGACGCCTGGGCCACCTCAACG